TGTACTGTCTCATGCCAATATACTTCTCAAAAGAAAATCTTCAAGGTAACCCTTAAGAATAATTGAAATGTGTGCTTTTTAAATAAAATATCTTAAGCATGAACTTTTTATTTCCATATCCTCCAAATCATGATGAGTAAAAAGCATGCTGTGTTTTTGTGGTTTTGTTGCTGTTGTTGTTGTTAAATAAATTGCTTTTCTCAAAAGCACACGTGTATTAAATGCCTTCCTGCCTTATATGTCTTCCTGCCTTTGACTAGGCAACCATTCTGCCAGGGACAGGAAATGGCTAGTGTAGCAAGGATGGCTAGTCACGTTTTGCTCCTGTTTGGGAGTCCGGTAAATCCAGAGTCCAGACAGAACAGCAGGCATTGACATGTTGAGTAGAGAGTTAGAGATATTCCCTCCCATTTATTACTGCTTCTAGCAATTACTTCTCCCAGTCTGGCTGGTCCACCTGCCCTGGGCATACTATCCCTTCTTTATCTCTTAAGCCCCATGTTGATACCAACTTCCTTACTTGGCTCATACAAGGGTGGCAGGAGTGGTGAGAAAAGCATCAGAGTGGGCTTATTTCCAAGCTTTCCACTTGAACTTGGCAGATGGGGGTGCATGCTCCATCTCTGACATGTAGTACACGTCAGAGAACTCTAAAGCAATCCAAATTGTTGGGAGATAAAAGTTAGCTGTTTGATAAATTCTAGGAAATATAAATGCCCAGAGATTTCTGGTGACTTAGCTTTCTGTTTTCAATAAATTTTAATGTTAAAGTTTTTATTGATGCTATTGTTTGGTACCTGAACCCTGACAGATAGACACTGAAACTTAATCATTAGGATGATCATATTAGGAGATAAGACCTTTTGGATTAGGGCCCTTACAAAAGAGGCCCTGGAGGGCTGCCTTGCTCCCTCTTTCATTGACAACACAAGATGCAGTACCCATGAACCCACCATACTGTCTTGTGGGCCCTCAGTTGCCACTTAGATCTATCTTCCACAACTGTGAGAAACACATTTTTATCTTTTTGTCAGCAACGAGGCTTGAATTCAGGGCCTGGGCTCTGTCCCTGACCTCTTTTGCTCCAGGCTAACACTCTACCACTTAGAGTCACAGCTCCACTTGGTTTTCTGGTGGTTAGTTGGAGATAAGAGTCTCACAGACTTTCTTGCCCAGTCTGACTTTGAATCAAGATCCTCAGATCCCAGCCTCCCAAGTAGCTAAGATTACACAAGTGGGCCACGAGAGGCTGAGAAATACATTTCTAGTGTTTATGAGCCACCTAGTTGATGGTGTTTTTTGTTCTGTTGATACAAGTAGAACCTACAGCCAATCTATTGGATATGACTGGATATTGTGTCAAACCTGATTATACAACAACAAGAAAAAAATAGATAACAATATAGGCGTGTGATTAAGAAAGCTCATGTGTCCAGGCTCTGAGTTCAAGATGTAGGAATGGCACAAAAGTATTTTTTTTTTTTGAAGAAGGACTCATTCTTGGCTGAACTGACAGTAGAAATTTGAGGGAGGAGGATGGGTTAAAGAAGGAATATAGCAGACACTGGAGACTGGCTTAGTTGAGGTTCCACAGAAAAACATATTTTAAGGGCCCAGTGTGGTTGGGAGGTGGTGGGAAGAGAAGGGCAGGTTGATCATTGATGATATACTACCTTGTGAAACCTTTTCGTGCCTAACCAATGTTTACTAAGCACCTACTTTGTTAATGAGTTACTTACATTTTGTTGTTATAAAGATGCCTTCTTTAATGCCCTTGGCAATGATCTTCTCTGTGTAGAAAATAAGAACCTATATTAATAGTTCCTTGGTGTCTTCCTAGTTCCTGGGAGCCAGCTTTTATTTCACAAAAACATGAGGAATCCTTACATCCTCAGCACTGTACTTCAGTCTTCAAAAGATGAAGGCTGTGAGTTCCCCATCCAGGTAGACAAGGGCCGGCTTTGAACCTACCTTTTCCTGGGCAGATTTGTCAGTTTTCATTCTAGTTACCCTTTTCAACAAGCTTTTCTATGTATGTGTAACAGAGTAACAGTATGACATTAGCAAAGCCAAGCAGTGTATCCTTTATTCACCCAAAAATGTTGATTGATAGGTTCTAGTCTCTCATATGTCGTTGACTTGCTATATGGTCTTGTGAAATGGGTAGGTAATTAAGAGGCTCACAATTTGGATAGGAAAGTCTACCTGTAAATGGTAGCCATGCCTAAGAATGCCCTCTGTCCTTGGACTTTTAGAGGCATTCTGGGATGTACCAGTGCTCATCAGAAAGCTGTTCTTCATCATAACTTGTCAAAATCAGATTCTTGAGCCTTACCCCTACTTTACTACATCACACACTTTAAGGGTGGATCCCAGGTGCATGCACATTCCAGCATACATATCAGGGCTTTCTGGTGTAGCTTGGCTCTCAGTATTTCATAACTATTCAAATCAGTTATAGTCTTTAGCTGCTAAGACATCTGAAGCTTTCAAGAGAAGCCCAGAACAGGAATAGGTACCATGGATATTCATGAAAGACCAGTTAATGTGAGCACCTATTTTTGACAAGAACAATAGTAAACGTTTAGATTATGGTGAGTGACATTAACCAGATACTGTGTCTCCCTTCATGGGACTTTTACCTACCTATTCATGGAACCTGATCCACAAAAGTCCATCCATCAAAGGTACACAAATGTCCCAGGCAATAGAGGCTCATACCTGTAATCATAGCTACTTGTGAGGTTGAATTCAGGAGGATCAGAATTCCAGGCTAGACCTAACAGAAAAGTATGAAAAACTCCATTGCAGTGGAATAAGATTGGAGGGGGGGAGGAATGGGAAGGGATGGTAAGGAGAAACAAAGGAGGAGACTACAATGCTTGATAAGAAATTATCTTGCCCATGTAATTGTAACCCCTCTGTATAGTATTTTCACAAAAAAAAAAAAATAACTCACACACAAAAAAGATGGGCATGGTGGTAAGCACTTGTCATCCAACTACAGCAGGAAGCCCAAGAATATACAAGAAAAGAACCAAGCATAGTAACAAACACTTGTAATTCTAGCATTCAGGAGGTGAAAACAGAAAAATCATGAGCTCAAAGCCAGCCTACACTACACAGCACGTTCCAAGCAAAACTGGGTTACATAGCAAGACCCTACCTCAATAAAATTAATTAAGATGCTTTAAAAAAACATAAATAGAACCATATCAATGGCATATGTTTTGAGACGATAGAAGGCACACATGATATAGACTTGGAAAGCCAGCCACAGCTGGTCTTCATGAGGAAGGAGACTTCAATTGTCTAATACGGTAACCCTTTGCCATGATTCACTTAAGATTCAATAAAACAGGAAATTTAGTGTTTCTGTTACATGTATTTCAAATGTTCAGTAGACACACGCAGCTATAATATTGGACTGAACAAATGCCATCAACATCATTGGAGAAACTTTTACCTTTGACTTCCCTGGTCAAACAAGAAGTGTTTGTGAGGAAATAGACTGTGTGGCTGGCTACATGTAGAAAGAAGGGTGATGTTGCTGGGCCAGCATGCACACTGGACAGCTGCTACTGTATTATCTCTTCTGTGTCTCCCCATCTGTGGCTTTAAGACAGCAGTCTTCTCGTGTAGACAAATTGGAGCAGGCCCAAGGGAGAGCAGCTATATTGGTGAAGCAACTATGTCCTCTGCGGCACTGTTGACATTGTTGATGTAATTCTGCACTGGGATAGAGGCTAGAAGAAAGGGCTCCTAACACCCAGTACCTCCTTCCTGGTGGTGATATGTACTCCAACAGATTGTTTAACTTGTACTGTTGAAACTCACACCATATGAAGACCTCACCCTCTTGTTTATGCAATCATTTCAGCTCAGTAGTTCGTACATTTTATGATATGTAACCAACAAATAATCAAAGGACCCAACGGACGTTTCTCCTAGGTTATACGTTAATAGAATTTTATTAATGATGTTAGCCTTAAAAAAAATCTATTATCAGTTGAGCTTGAGTATGTCTTAGAAACTTCAAGAGTTCTTCTCAGTATCTGAAATCCTAAGTAGATCACATGGAAGTTTTGTTTTGTTTTTTAAAAAAAATCCTTCTTTTTTGAACTAGATACAAATAAAATAGTCCTAAAGACTATATGTAAAAATGTGTGATTAGCAACCATCTAGAGTACTAGCATTGTATGGCTACAGGCCTAGTCCTGGATTCGATCACCAGCACATTACGTAATTATTTAGTTAATAATTAATTCCTGACTCTACTATCAGCTCCACACCTGCTAAAATATAACAGTCACAATATATGCCATATTCCACAAGAGGTGCTTACATACATTATTTCTAATTTTTTTGGCAGCTTCAGAAAGTTTTATTATCTTCTCAGATAAGAAAGCAGAGGCTCAAAGTTAACATGTTTCTCAGGGTCCCACACTTAGTGGTAACAGAGCAGAGGCTCCAGTCAGACCGTGTTACTCCCCACATTCTTTCCCTTCCACCACTGTCCATTTTTATACTTCAGTTATTAATTTTTCACATAGGATAACTGAAAGAATTAGCGCTCAAGTGTGAATTTTTCTAAGTCTAGTCTGGATTTTGTTTTCTATGTGATTTTTAATCAATAATAGTAACCTAAGTTCCCTTTCTTTTCTCTTTATTTTATTATTTTTTTATTGTAAAGATACTATACAGAGGGTTACAGTTACATGAGTGAGGTACATAAGTTCCTTTTTAAAAAGTGGTTTTAAAAAGTCAGTTGTTTTTTGTACTTCTTAGCATTTAACTCAATTTCTAAATCTTCTAGATTTGAGTGTTATTTTTCCCCATATTCTGATTTTTTTAATAACTGTGCATTCAATGTAAAGTCATTACTATTTATGGGCTGACCTATTTGCACACATTATGAACTATTATTTTTTTGTTGATTGGCTTTTCTGGGTCAGATAATGACAAAGTAGGCATTTTTAAATCTTCTTCTATTGTTTCAGATTTGATGGGAACTTTAACACAAATGTATCCAGAACAATTAGTTGTGATCGACTTTCTACTACTGTTAATAGCCGAGCCTTCAATCCAGGACGAGATTTAAATTCAGGTGAGTAATTTGTTGGTTTCATGAAAAATGAACCACCGTGTGTAAAATCAATAAATATATTCCTTAGTTGTTTATTCATTCCTCATTTTTATATTAATGTGCTAGTGTTTGAAGTCAGAGCCTCATGTTTGCTAAGCTCAATTGACTCATGCTCTTGTTCTATAAGTTTTGAAGACAACTGTCATATACTTAAAACTGGATATGGTTTGTTTTTTTTTTCCTGGAACCCCCAATGAAGAAAGAAAAGAAACCTGGCATACAGACACCACATACCAAGTAACTTGGTAGGCTCTTTAATTCATCTTCTTATTTATAAGGAGTTTTACCTTTGGATTGCTAAAGGTTGGTTTAGAGACCAACTTATTATTGCAACAACAGATGCTAAATTTTATTTGCAGTCTCTAGTTATAATTTTGAATTTGTTCTGTGGTTTTCTGAATACCACAAAAAATTATTAAGTTAGTACCATAACACTACACAGGAAGATTGAACTTGCTTACTTACTATAACTTGTCTATATACAGTTGTAATTAATACCCTGCACAGCATTGAAGTCATGTAGTCTCTATGTTCTCTTGCCCTGGAGTTCCACTGAATATTTTGTTTTTCATTGTGTCTTATGTTGGATCTCAACACTTAAGAAGCTTCACAGATGGAAGGATTTTTAGAAATAACATCAACTTTGATTTTTCAGGTCCTAAGCCTTTCCTTATTCCTGGGAAACTAAAGGCTCTATCTTATCCCTAACTGTGAAGAATTCTATTTCCCAAAGCCAAGGACTACTGTGGACACATTAAACTCAAGAGACAAGTTAGAAGACTAGAATAAGTACTTGTGAATTCCCATCCAGGCCCCGTCTGGAGGAAAAATTGTTGTCTTTGGGAATTATGTACACAAACTAGGCAATCAGTCTGTTGGATCTGAAGTGAAAGAACTGTTAGCTTTAAGTTTCTTAGGGATAATAAAATTTTAGCTGTAGATAAATGGTTCAATCTAAATCTGCCAGGCATATTCTCTGGACGTAAATACATATAAATGATTCAATCAATTTTTAATGATCAGAGAACTTGGAAATCTTCTGGAGCAGGTGAGGTTTCTTACTAGAAAGGAAGTTAAGTGACAGAGTTTTTCATTTTAAAAAATAACAGAAGAGAGTAGATGGAACATAAAATGCTAAGAATATTAATTGTGGAAGATTTCATAGCTGGTACAGGGTATAGAGCTAGCACTTGATTCCTCAGTCTCAAAATGTATTTTCCCTCTTAAAAATGCTTAGTAACACAAGATGTATTGTGCATAAAGTCATAAGGCTGAAAAAGAGATATTTGAATAGAATTAAATATAAGTGCTTATCCCCATAACACAACATTGTACATAGTTAAGGATTTTGTAATTCATGCGAACTTGAGGAGATCTATTAAATTTCTTACTTAATTTTAAACCTAACATCAATTGTTCTTATAAACAAAAGTGGAAAAAGAGAATTTCAATTACTAATCAGTTCCTGATTATCCATAGATTAGTACTAGGTTGCCCCCTGTGGATGACTGAATCAGGAGATGCTCAAGTCCCTAATATAAAATGGTGCAGTATTTGCACACATCTTCCCACAAGTTTTAAATCATCTCTAAATTACTGTTAATATCTAATGTTGAGCAAATGCTGTGATGTAAATTGTTGCATTGTATTGTCTAATTGTATTGTTTAATAGCATTACTTAAGTGTACCTATTCAGTATAGAATTAATTTCTTAACAGGGTATTTTTCATCTTAAGATGGTTTAATCCACAAATGTGGAAGGCTGACTATATTTCAAATGCAATTTTAACTCTTTTTGGTTAGGTAGTAACTTTCTTAACTATTATTGATAGATGATCTTCAGTGTGATGTTGAGTGTCTATTGGAAGCTCTACTAATAAGAAATGCCGGACTGGGCAGTGAGCAGCACATGCTCACCTGGGATCCAGAGTGATACTTCTGTACTCTGGCCCAGACTACATGCCTCAGTGAGTAGACCAGAACCTAAAGGATCTGGAAACTGCTACAGCCACAACCTGTTTCTCATTTTATTTTATGTCTGTCCACTGTTTCTGATAATGAGCACATAGCTGGTTTCTAGCTCCATCATTAGTAGCAACAGTACTGCTTTATTCTTAGTAGTACTGAAGCAATCCAAGTTATATCTTCCTATCTGCTAACGAATAAATACATACATAGAATTCATTCAACTATTATTTATTAAGCACTTTCTGTATGGTACATACTAGTTTGGAAGCTGTAAAGAAAACAATGCCCTAAAAGAACTTAGAAAGTGGCAAAAACTCTCATGCTCCTGGATTGGAAAGATCAACATCATGAAAATGGCAATACTCCACAACGCTATCTACAAATTCAACGCAATACCTATCAAAATTCCAACCTCATTCTTCAAGGAAATAGAAGAGTCAATCCAAAAATTCATTATGGAACAATAAAAGACCCCGAATAGCAAAAATGATCCTTAACAGAAAGAACAGTGCTAGAGGAATATCAATACCAAATTTCAAACTCTACTACAAAGCCATAGTAATCAAAACAGCTTGGTACTGGCACAAGAACAGACCTCAGGACCAATGGAATAGAATTGAAAACCCAGAAATGAACCTACGAAGTATAGCCATCTAATATTCATAAGGGAGCTAAAAAAATAGAATGGAAGAAAGACAGCCTCTTCAGTAATGGTGCGGCAAAATTGGTTAACTACCCGTAGAAAACTAAAGCTAGATCCTTATATATTACCTTGCACCAGAATCAACTCCAAATGGATCAAAGACCTTGAAGTCAAAGCAGACACTCTGAAAACATTACAGGATGGAATAGGAGAAACCCTAGGTCTCCTTGGCACAGGCCCAAATTTTCTTAATAGAGACCCAGAAACACACCAAATCAAAGAAAGGTTGGACAAATGGGATTGCATGAAATTGCAGAGCTTCTGCATGGCAAAGGACATAGCTAGCAAGATCAATAGAAAGCCCATGGACTGGGAGAAGATCTTCACTAGCCATACAACAGACAAGGTTCTCATATCTAAAATATACCTGGGACTCAAAAAATTAAATCCCCCAACAACAAATCTTCAAAGAAACAACTGCCCAAAAAATAAGTGGGTTAAAGACTTAAAGAGAAACTTCTCTGAAGAGGAATGAAGGATGGCCAATAGACACATGTAGAAATGCTCAACTTCTCTAGCCATAAAAGAAATTTTGGAAATCAAAACAACATTGAGATACCACCTCACTCCAGTTAGAATGGCTATAATCAAGAACTCTAATAACAACAGATGCTGGAGGGGATGTGGACCGAAGGGAACTTTACTACATTGTTGGTGGGAGTGTAAACTTGTTCAACCATTTTGGAAAGCAGTATGGAGGTTCCTCAAAAGACTCCATATAGAGCTCCCCTATGACCCAGCAAGCCCACTTTTGGGCATTTAACCAAATGATCACAAACAAGGCCATACTAAAGCTACCAACACAACTATATTTATTGCAGCATTATTTACCACAGCTAAGATATGGAACCAACCCAGATGCCCCTCAGTGGATGAATGGATCAAGAAATTGTGGTATATATACATAATGGAATTCTATGCCTCCATCAGAAAGAATGACATTGCCCCATTTGTTAGGAAATGGAAAAATTTGGGAAAAATTATAAAGTGAAGTAAGCCAGGCCCAAAGAAACATAGGTCCCAGGGTTTCCCTTATTTGCAATAACTAGTATATGTCTGAGTCAAGCAGAAAAGGTCAGATAAGTTGATGTTAGGGGAATGAACCCCAAGATAAGATTCAAATGTTTTTTTTCTTTCTTGCTATTGTTTCTAACATATTTATAAGATGATTTCTATGTTGCTTTGTATGTTCCTCCCCCACGGTATAACCCTGCTTTCACTGTATTTGATGTTGGTATAATTTGTGGAGGGGAAGGGCAAAAACAAATCATTTAACTAGGGATATAGGTGGACCCATTGCAACAATGAGATGTACAAGTCGTTATGTCGAAAAACGAACTTTACAACTTTGGTGGGGGGAGGGGGATCGGGTCGGGGTAGGTGGGGGGAGTATGGGAAGGGTGGGAAGGGGAAACAAAGAGGAGGCAACAATGCTTGATAAGAAATGAACTTGTTATCTTGCCCATGTAATTGTAACTCCTCTATACGGTATTTTAACAATTAAAAAAAAACAATGCTTATGATAAGGGGGATGACCCTTATATATTTTAATAAGCAAGTGTGTATACAACTCTAGATGATAATGTGGAACTATATTTCACTGTGTACATGAGCACCCCCCTCCTTCTGAATGGATTAATAACAATGATCAGAGATTTTAAGACTACAAGATCAGTTTCTCTTTCATTCGCTGGATGCTTTCTACCATGTTAACAGGTAACAAGAGGGCCCTCAATAGAACTAGCCTTGCAATAACCTTCTATAACTTATAAACTACTTAGTCTGTGGCATTCTATTGTAGCACCACACAACAGATGACCACAAGCACTATCAAGGAGCAATAATTGAAAAATGAGGTGAAGCAGATAATATTGGTTGGGCTTTGGGGATGGGAGGAAGAGAAATGCTTCTGTTTTAAATAGACACTCACTTGGTAAGATGTGAATATGTCAGTTATAAATCATGAGGATTCCTAGAAGAAATGTACCTAGGCAAAGGTCTCAGGGTAGGATGTTTGGTGTGCTCTGAAACTGTAAGAAGACCACAGTGGCTGTGATGGAGTGAACAAGGACGGGAGTGGGGGATGGGAGAGTGTGAGATTAGGTCAAAGAAGTACTTGGGGTACCAGGTCTTTGAAAGCATTACTTTACTGTCCAGGAAGGAGCTTTTGCTCTGAATGCAGTAGAGCAATTCTATGGGGGTTAACTTATGTTTCTTTTGTAAGAGTAGACTAAGGTACTTGGTAGACACCCAAGTAGAAAACCATCACAGATGCTTATGTATGTAAGTC